GTTTTTTTTTTTTTTTTTTTGTAAGGAATTTTGAGTTTTATTCCATGTTATTCTCTCACTTTATCCAGGATCTCCTACACAGATCCCCCTCTGAGTGGTTGACAGTGGTACTTGGGCACCATCTAGTTCTGGTCTCATGGTCATATAGGCTGAGGATCTCATGGTATACCGGTGCCTTGGACTAATTATTTCCATGCATCTTTGGTTTTCTTCATTCTTTCACAAGAGTTTTTTTTTTCCTTAATAAATGGCTTAATTTCCTTAGGTTTTATAGTATCTAAGGCAGTTTCTTATTGCCATGGGTCTAAGGCTAGTTGGAGATAACAAACACACACAAAGAATAACCCAAAACAAAGCCTATGGCCGTTGAGTTGATTCCAACTCAAGGTGATCTCATGGGTTGCAGAGTATAATGGCTCCATAGGGTTTTCTTGGCAGTAACTGTTCCAGAAGCAGATTGCCCGACATTCCCTCTGTGGTGCAGATGGGTGGAATGAAACCACTAACCTTTAGGTTAAAAGTTGAGTGCAAACCATTTGTGCCGCCCAGGGACTTTAGCAAATGAACAAGTCAGTGGTAATTACAGTAGCATGGTAAGTCTTGAATACTCAATTATTCCTTCCCCACTGGGTAGTGGGGAAAAAAATAGCAGGGGAAAAATATCTTAGCTGATTATCCAAGGTTCTTCATAATCTAGTCTATTTTTCCCATTTAGCTTCCTATCACTCAACAATAAGAATTTCTACTCTGGTCAGACTGGTCTCCTCATGGTACCCTAAACACACTCAGCTTGTCCCAGTTGCATGCCTTTGTGCTACTCTCATTGTCAAAAATGTCCACCCTTCTTTCTGCTATGCACCAAGACAGAATCCAGCTTTCTGGATCTAGCAGAATCCTCCTTCTGCCACAGGCTTTTCGGACAGCTCTCCCAACTCTCTGAATCCTACCACAACTTACTTGTATTGTTTCTTCTAGCACTTGCTAAACCATCAATTTACTGGGCAGCTCACATCTGACCCTTCCTTTTTGTCCCCTTCTGCTCCCAACATCTGGATAAAGGGCAACCGCAGGATTATGAGGGAGAGTACTAGACTAGGAACAGAATGCTGCTTTCTACTTGCCTGCTGACTGTACTCACACATTCATTCAACAAACATTGATTAGTCATTTTCTTTGTGTCAGGCAGCCACTATGTGCAAGTCAATAAGGTATAATTTTAACAATATTCTCTACAAGGTTGACAATCACAGCCGGGTTCCTCTTTCCCTCAACTGTCTTGTTAGTAGAGAATTTAAATAGTGTACTGATATACCAAAATAACCAGGCTTGAGATAGTAAGTTAAGAAATAACAGGGGAGGCGGGGCAAGATGGCGGACTAGGCAGAAGGATTGCACAGACCCTCTTCAACAAAGAAAAGGGAAACCAATTAACACAGACA